AATGATGAAGATGATGATGGGTGGTGGTGTTTCCACTCGGTTGTATTGTCGGAGGAGGCTCAACGTCAGAGGCCGGCACTAAAGGCCACCCGGGAAAACCCGTGGCCCCGTGGGGCCTTGCAGTCAATGCGAGACGGATCGCCGCGGTTGTGAGAGACACATTCCGACATTGTACGCAAATTTTATATGCAAAAAAAAAATGACCCAGACGCACAGCCGGACGCAACTCTCACTGCACAGTCAGGGCGCAGAGACGGCGAGAGGCAACGGGAAACAAAACATCGACAGCGAATCATCATCATCACCACCATCTCATGTCTACAAACCGCACGGTAATAATCATCATCATCACCATCATAATATAAAAAAAACGCGCATAAAGACGAGAATCGATTCCCCGGAATCGTGGCAACACGCCGTATCGCCGGAATCGATTAATTCACCAAGTGTCCCGATTAAAACAGAGATGTAGGAGCAGCCCTACAAGCGCTTCGCTCGCGCCACTGCTGGTCGGAGGGGCGCCCACGAGCGTTAAGCTCTGCGAGGAAAGCCTCCACCGGGGGGGGGTATTCGGCCTACTCTTTCCACGCCGGTCGGTACGTCGTGGAAGAGGTGGCAGTGCCGCAGGGACCCCCCACCCCACCTGCCAATACACTGTCAGTAGGGCACCCATTTCTACTGCTGAGCTGACAGAGGAGGTGGGTGAGTGGGTTGATTAATGAGTGGGTGGATAATGAGCATGGGTGAGTGAGTGGGTGAGTGAGTAGGTGGGTGGGGTGGAGGGGGGGGGTGAATGAGTGGGTGGGTGAATGAGTGAGTGGGTGGATGAGTGTATGGGTGAGTGGGTGAGTGAGTGGGTGGGTGGATGAGTGGTTGGATGAGTGGTTGATTAGTGAGTGGGTGGGTGGATGAGTGAGTAGGTAGGTGGGTGAGAGAGTGAGTGGGTGGGTGGATGAGTGGGTGGATAAGTGAGTATGGGTGAGTGGATGAGTGAGTGGGTGGGTGTGTGAGTGGGCGGATGAGTGGTGGGTGGTTGAATGAGTGGGTGGATGAGGACATGGATGAGTGAGTGAGGGGATAAGTGAGTGAATGGATGAGTGAGTGGGTGGGAAGGTGGATGAGTGAGTGAGTGTATGGGTGGGTGAATGAGTGGGTGGTTGAGTACGTGGGTGGGTGAGTGGGTGAGTATTTACAAAACTCGCACCATTGTTTCAACTGCCGCACCGGGAGATCGAATGGAGCCGGACTAAACCAAAGAAGCTCACGGCAGCAGCAGCAGCAGCTGAATGTGCGATAAAAGTTAGACACCAACGGTGTTGTACAGTACCATGATAGTGCACCTTTAAAACACGCGTTTCCGTCACCCAGAATCGACTTACAAACTGCACTCGGTGCGCAGAATCTTGAAACCCTAACAACGAATAAATACATCTTGGCAGTCGAAGCAACTTTATCGTTTTTGAGTTTAACACGTCGGCTTTCGCGACCGATATCATCCACGACAGAGGTTTTTTTTTATATTTACGCGATCGGAGCCCCAAAAAAAACCTCTCTTCAGAATGTATCCTTGGAATTCCCCTTTTCATGTCCGCCGATTCTCTCATGTCCACAGCGGTGCTGCTGGCGGTTGTTCCCGGCTGCTCCTGAAAGTCCCAAAGGCAGCGGTCGAAGGCAGTTCCACCGATTCATCCATTGATCATCACATCACCATGAGCAGCAGCATCAGGAGTCTTGGTCAATCCACCGCTGGATGATAAAGGACATCCTCCACCAAAGAGTTCCTCTCGCGATGTGAAGCGCCGCCCGTGACACCCGCAGTGGATTCCCTTTTCACCGCTCCCACGGACGCGTTCCCACGGACGCGTTCCACACCGTTTCCATTTCAGACGTCGTGTTCCTTGTTTTTGCCCGTCGGGTTTAATTCAGCCGCGTGGGGCGTTTGGGGGCGGCGAGCGGGCGGGCAGCGCGTGCCCCCCATCCACGTTGGTGACAATTCCACGTTCCTTTGGCGGGGTTAAGTCCCGTTAAAAAAAAGTACGAAAAAGTTTAGGAAAAATACATCTGTTGAATTCGCGCACATTGGTTCGTATTTTAAGGGACACGAACAACGGAGGAGAAATGATGGGTTGAGTCACCCCCCCGCCCCCTCCCTTCACACACCCCCCACCCCCATCCAACCAGGATTTGACCTTACGACCTTTGCAGGTGTTGATAGTTCGACTCCAGCACCCCCGCCACGTGGTCAACCGCCATTGTGATCGTCGTCATCATCGCCACCACAGATGTGTCGACATATTTCTGGTCTGTCATTCCACCCCCCCGACACCTTGCAGTCATGGGGATGGGGGGGGGTTTGTTTGACCATACTTCACCACGCCGGTCAACGTGGGCGGGGGGGGGGTACGGGCACGCGGGGGTGCGTACCAGGCATCGCTCGCCACCGACGTTGGCCACGATGCGCCAACTGCTGCACCACCGCTCCTCCCTCTCCTCTCACCATCGACACGGATAAGAGCCCCTGGTGTCTACAGGGTAGGTCCCCCGCGCCCCAATTGACCCGGACCCCTGGCGTGAGTTCTGTTCCTTTGCATATTCATTTGCGTTTTAAATAGAGCTAAACTTGAAAAAAAGAGGACGTTTTATAAAATTCGATAGGTGGGGTGGGTGGGGGGTGGGTGGTCACGAGATATCTGGACCACCCCTGGACATCGACACCGCTCCACCACCGCTCCTCACCCCCCCCCTCCACCACCCCCCCCCCCAGGAGTGTGACCCCCCCCGCCCCCCACCCCCGGGGCGAGAGGGAGCAGGCGGAGGTTGCTGGACCTGCGGGACGAGGTGGTGAGGGTGACTCTAGTCGAGGTGGTGAGGGTGACTCTAGTCGAGGTGGTGAGGGTGACTCTAGTCGAGGTGGTGAGGGTGACTCTAGTCGAGGTGGCGAGGGTGACTCTAGTCGAGGTGGCGAGGGTGACTCTAGGCGAGGTGGCGAGGGTGACTCTAGTCGAGGTGGTGAGGGTGACTCTAGTCGAGGTGGTGAGGGTGACTCTAGTCGAGGTGGTGAGGGTGACTCTAGTCAAGGTGGTGAGGGTGACTCTAGTCGAGGTGGCGAGGGTGACTCTAGTCGAGGTGGCGAGGGTGACTCTAGTCGAGGTGGTGAGGGTGACTCTAGTCGAGGTGGTGAGGGTGACTCTAGTCGAGGTGGTGAGGGTGACTCTAGTCGAGGTGGTGAGGGTGACTCTAGTCGAGGTGGTGAGGGTGACTCTAGTCGAGTTGGTGAGGGGGACTCTAGTCGAGGTGGCGAGGGTGACTCTAGTCGAGGTGGTGAGGGTGACTCTAGTCGAGGTGACGAGGGTGACTCTAGTCGAGGTGGTGAGGGTGACTCTAGTCGAGGTGGTGAAGGGGGCTCTAGTCGAGATGGTGAGGGTGACTCTAGTCGAGATGGCGAGGGTAACTCTAGTCGAGGTGTGAGGGTGACTCTAGTCGAGGTGGTGAGGGTGACTCTAGTCGAGGTGGTGAGGGTGACTCTAGTCGAGGTGGTGAGGGTGACTCTAGTCGAGGTGGTGAGGGTGACTCTAGTCGAGGTGGTGAGGTGACTCTAGTCGAGGTGGCGAGGGTGACTCTAGTCGAGGTGGCGAGGGTGACTCTAGTCGAGGTGGCGAGGGTGACTCTAGTCGAGGTGGCGAGGGTGACTCTAGTCGAGGTGGCGAGGGTGACTCTAGTCGAGATGGCGAGGGTGACTCTAGTCGAGGTGGTGAGGGTGACTCTAGTCGAGGTGGTGAGGGTGACTCTAGTCGAGGTGGTGAGGGTGACTCTAGTCGAGGTGGTGAGGGTGACTCTAGTCGAGGTGGTGAGGGTGACTCTAGTCGAGTGGTGAGGTGACTCTAGTCGAGGTGGTGAGGGACTCTAGTCGAGGTGGTGAGGGTGACTCTAGTCGAGGTGGCGAGGGTGACTCTAGTCGAGGTGGTGAGGGTGACTCTAGTCGAGGTGGCGAGGGTGACTCTAGTCGAGGTGGTGAGGGTGACTCCAGTCGAGGTGGTGAGGGTGACTCTAGTCGAGGTGGTGAGGGTGACTCTAGTCGAGGTGGCGAGGGTGACTCTAGTCGAGGTGGCGAGGGTGACTCCAGTCGAGGTGGCGAGGGTGACTCTAGTCGAGGTGGCGAGGGTGACTCTAGTCGAGGTGGTGAGGGTGACTCCAGTCGAGGTGGCGAGGGTGACTCTAGTCGAGGTGGTGAGGGTGACTCTAGTCGAGGTGGTGAGGGTGACTCTAGTCGAGGTGGTGAGGGTGACTCTATTCGAGATGGCGAGGGTGACTCTAGTCGAGGTGGCGAGGGTGACTCTAGTCGAGGTGGTGAGGGTGACTCCAGTGGAGGTGGCGAGGGTGACTCTAGTCGAGGTGGTGAGGGTGACTCCAGTCGAGGTGGCGAGGGTGACTCTAGTCGAGGTGGTGAGGGTGACTCTAGTCGAGGTGGTGAGGGTGACTCCATTCGAGGTGGTGAGGGTGACTCCATTCAAGGTGGTAAGGGTGACTCTAGTCGAGGTGGTGAGGGTGACTCTAGTCGAGGTGGTGAGGGGTGACTCTAGTCGAGGCGGCGAGGGTGACTCTAGTCGAGGTGGCGAGGGTGACTCTAGTCGAGGTGGTGAGGGTGACTCTAGTCGAGGTGGTGAGGGTGACTCCAGTCGAGGTGGTGAGGGTGACTCTAGTCGAGGTGGTGAGGGTGACTCTAGTCGAGGCGGCGAGGGTGACTCTAGTCGAGGTGGTGAGGGTGACTCTAGTCGAGGTGGCGAGGGTGACTCTAGTCGAGGTGGCGAGGGTGACTCTAGTCGAGGTGGCGAGGGTGACTCTAGTCGAGGTGGCGAGGGTGACTCTAGTCGAGGTGGCGAGGGTGACTCTAGTCGAGGTGGTGACGAGGTGACTCTAGTCGAGGTGGTGAGGGGTGAATCTAGTCGAGGCGGTGAGGGTGACTCTAGTCGAGGTGGTGAGGGTGACTCTAGTTCGAGGTGGTGAGGGGGGCTCTAGTCGAGGTGGTGAGGGTGGCTCTAGTCGAGGTGGTGAGGGTGACTCTAGTCGAGGTGGTGAGGGTGGCTCCAGTCGAGGTGGAGCGGGCAGCCTCAGTCGCCCTCGGGGCAGCCGTGGGCGAGCAGGACGTCGACACACAGGTGGCTGTGTGCGGCACGGGCGCGCGCCAGCGCCGTGACACCCGCAGCATCGCGACGGCGCACGTCGGCGCCATACTGGGGGGGGGGGGGAGGGGGGGGGTGTGAATTAAAATGAATTAAAATTAAATAAAAAGTTACGTTATTATCATTTTAATTTTGACCGGGTGAAAGTCCAACCACGGCTGCTATGGAGCGAGCGCTCTTGGTCGCGTGTGAATTTCTATCGCAGGCAAACCACGACCTCCTGTACACCAGGCGAGGGAGTTAACATCTCCTAGCCACCGTGATGATGATGATGTGAAAGATACGCAAACTCCAAATATGCAGCAGCAGCAGGCATGAGGGTCTGGATCGATCGCACGATCTCCTGCATACCAGGCGAAGTAGTTAACATCTCCTAGCCACCGTGATGATGATGAGAAAGACACGCAAACTCCAAATATACAGCAGCAGCAGGCATGAGGGTCGGGATCGAACCCACGACCTCTTGCATACCAGGCGAGGTAGTTAACATTTCCTCGCCACCATGGTTTGAGGCCTGAGCAGTTTGTGTGTGTGGGTGTTTAGTTCTTGCCCTCACCCCGCACCTCCGATTACCACGGTTGTCTATGTACGGTGGTGCAAAATAAGTTCAGTGTTCATATATATATATGTACAACAGACTGCAGGGGCAAGTGCTGTTAGCGAGCACCTATGAGGGCCGGCACGGCACACGAGGAGGTAGGTCGCCAACAACCACGCCCGACCGCCTTTGTCTCCCCAGTGGCGATGTTTACACACCGCACCAGGCACTCATTTGAGGCCTAGTCGACCTAGGGGAGGCCCAATCGTCAAACGCGCAGACGGGCGCAGCCGCGAGGTTTCCTCACCCAGATGAGGAGCTGCGTCGTGACGACGTCCCCGTTCGCGCAGGCGAGGTGAAGGATGGGCTCCCCGCCAGGCCCGTCACGTGACCCCCCCGCGCACGCCTCATTCACCTGGCACGTGCACGCGGGGGAACCACGCGGTTCATCATGGCCGCGTCGGGGAGGGTACGGAGCAGGGCACCGCCCAGAGCTTGGTGGTTAAGGGTCGAACCCTGGGACTGGACGTCGCTTACGTTCGCAATGGCCACGTCAGAGATGGCGGCTCGGCTTGTGAGTGACCTCACACGCGATTGAGTGAGTGAGTGATCGAGTGAGCGAGTGAGTGGGTGATCGAGTGAGTGAGTGATTCAGTGACCTCGTGAGCGAGTGATCTAGTGACCTCACGTGCGAGTGAGCGAGCGAGTAGGTGAACGAGTGACCTCGTGAGCGAGTGATCTAGTGACCTAGTGACCTAGTGACCTCACGCGCGAGCGAGTGACCTCGTGAGCGAGTGATCGAGTGATTGAGTGACCTCGTGAGTAAGTGATCTAGTGACCTCACGTGCGAGCAAGTGAGTGGATGAGCGAGCGAGTGAGTGGGTGAGCGAACGAGTGGGTGAACGAGCTAACAAGTGAGTCAGCGAGTGAACAGATGGGCAAGCGAGCCGGCGGGCGGGTGATATAGTGATCTCGCGAGCGAGTGAGTGGGCGAGCGAACGAGTGGGTGAACGAGCGAACAAGTGAGTCAGCGAGTGAACAGATGGGCAAGCGATTTGGCGGGCGGGTGATATAGTGATCTCGCGAGCGAGTGAGTGGGCGAGCGAGCGAGTGAGTGGGCGAGCGAGTGAGTGGGTGAACGAGCGAACAAGCGAGTCAGCGAGTGAACAGATGGACAAGCGATCTGGCGGGCGGGTGATATAGTGATCTGGCGAGTGAGTGGGCGAGCGAGCGAGTGAGTGGGCGAGCGAGCGAGTGGGTGAACAAGCAAACAAGTGAGTCAGCGAGTGAACAGATGGGCAAGCGATCTGGCGGGTGGGCTGGCACCTGCTCGCGCTCGCTGTGAGCCAGCAGCAGCGCCACGGAGCGCACGTCTCCGGCAGTGACGGCGCTGGCGAGGCGCGTGCCGAACGCCGCACCGGGCGACGACGGCGACGATGGCGGCGACGGAGGAGGAGGAGGCAGCGGCGCCAGGAAGAGGCGCTCACGGTACTTGTCCCAGATCCAGCGCTCGCGTTCCTCCCTGTGCCGGTCGGTGGGGGGGGGGGGGGAGGGGGTCACGGGGTCACGGGGTGCCACGGGGTCACGGGGTTGCACACCGAGCATCGCGATTGCCCACCCCCTCCCACGTGCCACCCAGACAGGGCTCGTTAAGCGACTCGCTAAAACGTCCCGATGCAGAGCGAGACCCCTTCTCGAGACTCGGCTCTTTCTGGGGAAGACAAAGGCGGCCGGGCCTGGTATTGCCCACCGCACCCCCGCAGCGTTCATTAGGAAGGAGGAGAGAGGGAGGAGGAGGAGAGAGGGAGGAGGCAGGCGGCAGGAGGAGCAGCAGCAGCAGCAAATTCGCCATCGTTGAACGCCTCCCTCACCTGCTGGAGTCGGCACGCGGCTTCCTTCTGTGTCCCCTCCCTCCCTCGCTGCGTCCAGCGGCAGTGGTGGCGGCCGTGCCAGCGCTCGCATCGGCGGCGTTCGCGTCCGCCTTCGTCGCCCCGGTTGTGGTGTTCGCGCCAGCATCGGTCGTTGTCGTTGTCGTCGCAGCGGCGGCAGCGGCGTCGAGGGCGCCCTCCCAGACGCTGTTGGCGAGGCGGTTGCCCATGGCGGTGAGCACGGCGGCCAGCTCGGGCGGCCAGTAGTCCAGCTGCAGGGAGCGCACGCGCGACAGGTGCGCGCCCAGCGCACGGTGCACGCCGCAGCACGAGATGCACATGAGGGCGCCCAGGTTGAGGCTTGCCCAGCTCGGGTCTACACACACACACGCAAGTTAATACACACACATACAGGGGTAAATACACACACACATACACACATGGGTAAATACACACACGGGTCTAAACACACACACACACACACACGGGTACACACACACACACGCGCACGCACGCACGGGTTATACACACACAAACACACACATACACACACGGGTCTAAACACGCACGCACGGGTAAATACACACACACATACACACACGGGACTACACACACACACGGGTCTACACACACACACGGGTAAATACACACACACACGGGTCTACACATACACACACGGAACTACACACACACACATACACACACGGGTCTACACACACATACACACACGGGACTACACACACACACACGGATAAATACACACACATACACACACACACGGGTCTACACACACACGGGTCTACACACACACACACATGCACAGGTAAGTACACACACGCACACGGGCCTACACATACAGGGGTACACACACACGCACGGGTACACACACACACACGGGTCTACACACACACACATGCACAGTTAAGTACACACACACACGGGTCTACACACACACACGGGTCTACACATACAGGGGTACACACACACACACACACGGGTCGACACATATAGGGGTACACACACACACACGGGTCGACACATACAGGGGTACACACACACACACACGGCGCAACACAAGATGCACATGAGGGCACACAGGTTTAGGCTCACCCAACTTGCGTCTACACACATACACAAAGATCCCCCGTATAGCCTGTAACAGACTGTTGGGGCAAGTGCTGTTAGCAAGCACCTATGAAAGCCAGAACGACACACGAGAGGGTGGGTGGCCAAAACCACGCCCGGCCGTCTTTGTCTCCCTAGTGGCGATGTTTACACACCACACCAGGTACTCATTTGAGGCTGAGTCGACCTATGGGAGGCCCAAGACCCGGTTCAGATAATCGTCACCGGTGTTGGCCGTGAGCGGGAATCGAACTCGGGACGCCGAGTTCGTAGCGCAGCGTAGCGCTACCCGTTACACGACCGCACAGGTGCAGACACACAGGTACATGCACACACAGAGGTATACACACACCACACAGGTACATACATACACACACAGAGGTACACACATGTGGAGACACAAACATAAGATGATGACGACGACGACGACGACGATCACAGTGACAATGACGGTGATGATCATCATGATGATGACGATGCTCAAGATGATGACGATGATCAAGATGATGACAACGGCGGTGACGACTACGGTGGTGACGGTGGTGGTGATGACGGTGGTGGTGACGACGGTGGTGACGACGGTGGTGACAACTACGGTGGTGATGGTGGTGGTGACGACGGTGGTGGTGATGGTGATGGTGGTGATGGTGGTGGTGGTGACGACGGTGGTGGTGACGGTGGTGGTGGTGGTGACGGTGGTGGTGGTGTCGTACTGGGAAGGCCGCAGTCCACGCAGCGCTCGTTGCCCGGCACGCTGCGGATCTCCTCGATCGTCCGCTGCCGTCGCTGCAGCTCCTGGGGCGACTGGGGTCACGTGCACAAGGTCACAAGGTCACGTGCACGGGTCACAAGGTCACGCGCACGGGGTCACAAGGTCACGCGCACGGGGTCACGAGGTCACGTGCACGGGGTCACGAGGTCACACGCACAGGGTCACAAGGTCACGTGCACGGGGTCACGAGGTCACGCGCACGGGGTCACGAGGTCACGCTCACGGGGTCACAAGGTCACGTGCACAGTGTCACAAGGTCATGTTTACACGGGGTCACACAAGGTCACGCACATACCACGCCGATGGTCTTGTACCACGACGATGCCGCTGAGTGTGATGGGCGGCGATTGGGAGCGTGTGACGGCGAAGCGCGGCAAGGTTTCGTCGCCAGTCGTTATCGTCATGACTGCTGCCATCCCCGCCTCGCATCACGCCACGCGTCGTACCAGCAGCGTCACCATCGCCACCACCATCATCATCGTCATCAACCACCCTCCTCTTCATCATCAAACTCCCTAACCAGTCGTCACCAACCACCCCCTGCCCTCTCCCCCCCTGCCACCCCCCTCCGCCCAATACCAGCAGCGTCACCATCACCACCATCACCACCACCACCATCGTCATCACCATCAACCACCGTCCTCTTCATCATCAAACTCCCTCAACCGTCATCACCAACCACCCCCTGCCCTCTCCCCCCCTGCCACCCCCTTCCGCCCAATACCAGCAGCGTCACCATCGCCACCACCATCATCATCGTCATCAACCACCCTCCTCTTCATCATCAAACTCCCTCACTCGTCATCATCACCCACCCACCGCCCTCTCCCCCCCTGCCACCCCCCTCCGCCCAATATATCATCACCACCACCATCACCACCATCACCACCCACCATCGTCATCATCACCATCAACCACCCCCCTCTTCATCATCAAACTCCCTCACTCGTCATCACCAACCACCCCCTGCCCTCTCCCCCCCTGCCACCCCCCTCCGCCCAATACCAGCAGCGTCACCATCACCACCACCATCACCACCACCATCGTCATCACCATCACCATCGTCATCACCATCAACCACCCTCCTCTTCATCATCAAACTCCCTCACTCGTCATCATCACCCACCCCCTGCCCTCTCCCCCCCTGCCCCCCCCCTCCGCCCAACACCCCCCACCCCCCCCGCCCCCCCCCCCCGTACCGGTGCGGAGCGTGCGTCCCCCCCCCCGCCGCTGCTGTAGGACTGGAGGCTGGCGAAGATCCTCCCCTCGATGGCGGCCACCCAGGCGCCGCGCTCATCGCCGCTCGCCGCCTCGAAGTGCCAACTCTCTCCCGTCAGAGACACCACGGTGAAGTCGCACGGGGACGGCGGCGACGCCAACGACGACGACGACGACTCCTCTCCGTCTGGGTGGGGGGTAGGGGGGGTCATGTGGTCACGTGGTCACGTGGTCACGCCAACGTCATATGAGGATGGTCACGGATGGGACACACACTTGGGGTTATGGGGTCACATCGAGGGTGGCCGCGTTGAGTAGATCGAGGGGACAAGAGGGGTCACGGGGGTCGTGGGGTCAAGATTGGGGTTACAGGGTGTCGAGAGGGGTCATGGTGGTGTCGAGAGGGTTTACGGGTTCTTGGCAGGTTTTGAGTAATCAGGGAGTGGGGTGGGTCGCAGGGGGTTGAGAGGGGTTGCGTTGGGGGTCGCGTTGGGGGTCGCGTTGGGGGTCGCATTGGGGGTCGCATAGGGGGTCGCGTAGGGGGTCGCGGTGGGGGTCATGGTGGGGGTCGCAGTGGGGGTCGCAATGGGGGTTGCGGTGGGGGTCGCAGTGGGGGTCGCGTTGGGGGTCGCGTTGGGGGTCGCGTTGGGGGTCGCGTTGGGGGTCGCGGTGGGGGTCGCGTTAGGGGTCGCGGTGGGGGTCGCGGTGGGGGTCGCGGTGGGGGTCGCGGTGGGGGTCGGCGGTGGGGGTCGCGTTGGGGGTCGCGTAGCGGTTCGCGGTGGGGGTCTCACGGCGTCTGTGTCTCCGCCGCGTGGCGACGGGCGACGCCGCGGGGTCCTGCCTGAAGCTGCCCCCGGACAGGCTGGGGCTGGACCCCACCGTGTCATCCGACGCGCTGCCTGCTTCACACACATACACACACGACGACGACGATCAACAAGGAAGAACAACCGTGCACACGCCTGGATCCTTGCAACGCTCCGTCGCCCCGGCGTGGCCGAGCCGACCAATGGGCACGCGCGCCGCTGCCTACCGGCTCGGCCGGAGCGGCCGTGGCCGTCGCTCCCCGGCACCGCCGGCTCGGGGCTCGCGGCGGAGACCGCCGGGGGCTGCAGGAGGACGGCAGAGTCGGGACACGTGCCTGGAGGGGAGGGAGGAGGGGGGGGGTCATGTGGGAGGGGTCACAAGGTCAAGAGGCGAGGTCCAGAGGGGTTGGTGGGTGGGGGTGCACTCTCGTCGACGCTTCGCCAATTCGTCGCGAGCAGGGCCTGCGATTCCACCTCCTCCTCTCCCTACCCTCCCTCATCCTCCTCCTGCCATCCATTCCTCCCCTCTTCTTCCTCATCCCCTTCTCATCTTCCTCCACTCATCCCTTCTTCCTCCTACCGCTCTCCCCCCTCCTCACCATTCTCCCCTCCCCGATCCTCATTCCTCCTTCCCTCTTCCTCAATGCTTCCACCTCCTCCATCATTAATTCTCCTCCATCCTTCTCCTCCTTCCTCCTCCTCCATCCTTCCTCCTCCTCCATCCTTCCTCCTCCTTCATCCTTCCTCCTCCTTCATCCTTCATTCTTCTTCATCCTTCCTCCTCCTCCATCCTCCTCTATCTTTCATCCTCCTCCATCCTTCATTCTCCTTCATCCTTCATCCTCCTCCATCTTTCATCCTCCTCCATCCTTCCTGCTCCTTCATCCTTCATCCTCCTCCATCCTCCTCCATCTTTCATCCTCCTCCGCCTCACTGCCATTCCTCCTCATCTTATTCTCCCCCCAACGCCCCCCCCCCCACTCCACCCCCTCCGCGCCCGCCCCCCCTCACCGTTGGCGGTCGCGTTGTGGGCTGTGGCCCCGCTCTCGTCTCCGGCGAGGTGGCTGCCTCTGGGGCTGGGGGCCGGGGGGCCGTGGGGGGCCGCGGGGGCCGAGGAGGAGGAGGAGGCGGAGGTGGCCCGGGGGGGGCGGGCCCCCGGCACCTTCACGGTGGTTCCCAGCAGCGCCACCTCCTTGCCGTGGATGTTCTGCATGTAGTCCTGGGGGAGGGGGTGGGGGTGGGGGGTGTTCCCTGATCAATCCACTGCTGGATGAAGATCCCTGCCAAGTCCCCGTCGTGCATCGTGGTCCGGCGATGCAGCAGTCCACAGCGAGATGGTCACAGAAACCAGTGGCGTAGTCGAGGCGGGAGTGGCATGGGACCTAGGCCCTGTGAGACCCTGGGGGCTCTGGGGGACCCTGGGAGACCCTGGGCCCTGGGACCCTGCACCCCTGACCCTGGAGACCCTGGGCTCCCTGGAGACCCTGGGCTCCCTGGTGACCCTGGGCCCTGGAGACCCTGGGCCCTGGAGACCCTGGGCTCTCTGGAGACCCTGGGCTCCCTGGAGACCCTGGAGACCCTGGGCTCCCTGGAGACCCTGGGCTCCCTGGAGACCCTGGGCTCCCTGGAGACCCTGGAGACCCTGGGCTCCCTGGAGACCCTGGGCTCCCTGGAGACCCTGGGCTCCCTGGAGACCCTGGGCTCCCTGGAGACCCTGGGCTCCCTGGAGACCCTGGGCTCCCTGGAGACCCTGGGCTCCCTGGAGACCCTGGGCTCCCTGGAGACCCTGGGCTCCCTGGAGACCCTGGAGACCCTGGGCTCCCTGGAGACCCTGGGCTCCCTGGAGACCCTGGGCTCCCTGGAGACCCTGGGCTCCCTGGAGACCCTGGGCTCCCTGGAGACCCTGGGCTCCCTGGAGACCCTGGGCTCCCTGGAGACCCTGGGCTCCCTGGAGACCCTGGGCTCCCTGGAGACCCTGGGCTCTCTGGATGCTGCACCCTCCACCCCCTGGACCCTAGTGCAGGGGTCGTCATCACCTTCTTCGTCATCGCTCTGAATAGGCCCCACGAGGGGGGGAGGGGGTGCAGGGTGAGGATGGGGAGGAGGATGACGATGCACGTATAAACGTTGAACTTCTTTCGCAGCGTACATGGCCAACCGTGCTGATCGGAGGTCCGGGGATGAAGAGGCAGTGGAGGAGGATGAGGGGTGTAAGATGATGATGATGAAGAGGATGATGATGATGATGATGAAGTGGAGATGGAGGAGGAGGTGGAAGGGGAGGATGGCGAGGAGGTGGACGAAGAGGTGGATGAAGAGGTGGACGAGGAGGTGGATGAGGAAGTGAACGAGGAGGTGGACAAGGAGGTGGACGAGGAGGTGGACGAGGAGGTGGACGAGGAAGTGAACGAGGAGGTGGACAAGGAGGTGGACGAGGAGGTGGACAAGGAGGTGGACGAAGAGGTGGACGAGGAGGTGGACGAGGAGGTGGACGAGGAGGTGGATGAGGAGGTGGACGAGGAGGTGGACAAGGAGGTGGACGAGGAGGTGGACGAGGAGGAGGGAGTCTCACGTGCAGGCTGGGGTAGTATGTGAGCAGGCCCTCCTCGCACAGAGTCACGTACTTCTTCTTCCACTCCTTGTTCAGGGTGCCGCCCCACTTCAGCAGGATGCCCTGTGGGGGGTGGGGGGTCACGGGGTCAACAGACTGCGCATGGCGACCGTCCACCCGTACCCACGTGATGCCCGAGCAGCGCTCGTCAAACGAATCGGCGCAGCATCCCGGCGTGGCAAGGCCCTCCTGTCAGGGAGTTTTGAGACTCAGTGGAGGAGAATTATTTTGGGGGGGGGCAGAGGGGGGGAGACAAAGGCAGCCGAGCGTGGCGTTGGAGGGGGGCGGAGTTCATGGCTCGAGCTCGAACTTCCACCGCGGCCGTCGTGAACCCCACGACCCCACGGGAGGCACCCCCCCCCCCTCCCCCCCCCTCCCCCCCCCCCCCCCAGGGCTCGAAGCCACCGAACCTCCCAAGCTCAGCAGGGCCCCACCTGCTTGACGGGGATGGCGCGGCCGCTGCCGATGCAGTCCCCCTCGGCCGCCGCCCGTCGCTCCTTCTCCACGTCGCTGTTCCTCTGCGCAACGCCACGGGGGAGGTGGGCGGGGGGGGGGGTGTTAGAACGGTGCGGTGTTACAATGGGGAGTGGCGTTAGAACGGTGCGGTGTTACAATGACGAGTTAACACAGTGCGGTGTTACAATGGGGGGGGGGGGGGTTAGAACGGTGCGGTGTTGCAATGGGGGTGACGTTAGAACGGTGCGGTGTTAAAATGGGAGGATGATGAGGAGGATGAGGAGGATGAGGAGGACGATGATGATGACGATGACGATGAGGAGGATGATGATCGCGTCGTTACCGTGAAGATGTTGGACCGTCGCTTGGGCACCCTGCGGGCGAGCGTGGGGGTGGGGGCGTCCCCCCCCCGCCCCTCCGCGGGCCCCCACTCGCCCCCGCACAGCGAGTGGGCCGACAGACGAGCCGGGGACTGTGACAGACATCGACATCGTCGTCATCGTCATTGTGATGTCATCGTCGACATCGTCGTCGTCATTGTGATGTCATAATCTACATCAGTCATCATCTACACCATCGTCGTCATTGTGATGTCATCATCGACATCGTCGTCATCGTCATTGTGATGTCATCGTCGACATCATCGTCGTCGTCATTGTGATGTCATCATCTACATCAGTCATCATCTACATCATCGTCGTCATTGTGATGTCATCATCTACATCATCGTCGTCATTGTGATGTCATCATCTACATCATCGTCGTCATTGTGATGTCATCATCTACACAATCGTCATCGTCATTGTAATGTCATCATCGACATCGTCGTTGTCATTGTGATGTCATCATTGACATCGTCGTCATCGTCATTGTGATGTCATCAGACATCGTCGTCGTCGTCATTGTGATGTCATCATCTACATCAGTCATCATCTACATCATCGTCGTCATTGTGATGTCATCATCTACATCATCGTCGTCATTGTGATGTCATCATCTACACCATCGTCGTCGTCATTGTGATGTCATCATTGACATCGTCGTCATTGTGACGTCATCATCGACATAATTTGTATGTCATCATCTACATAATAATTGTTGTTATCTACATAATCATTGTTATGTCATGAACATCATCATCATTGTGACGCCATCCTCTACATCGTCATTTTTGTCATTATTATTATTATCGATATCGTCGTCATTGTTCATCATCTACATCGTCGTCATCAGTGTAATTATTATCATCCTCGACATTATCACCTTGATCATCGTCGTCATAAGTATCGCTAATGCTGTGTATGTGGAGTTTGCGTGTCTCTCTCTCCTTGTGGTCGCGTGGATTTTTCTCAAGGTCCTTCGGTTTTTCCCTCCACATTTAGAATGGACATCACCACGCGTTGAGAGCATTTGGCCACTGCTATAAATGCCCACGTGATGATGATGACGATGACGATGATGACGATGACGACGATGACGACGATGATGACGATGATGATGACGATGATGACGATGACGATGATGATGACGATGACGACGATGACGATGACGACGACGATGACGATGACGACGACGATGACGACGATGACGACGATGACGACGACGATGACGATGACGACGATGATGACGACGACGACGATGACGATGACGATGATGACGATGACGATGATGACAATGAGAAGCCCACTTCGTTGAGCTATCATTCGTGATGGCCAGGTCGCTTCTGAAAAATAGCTACGTAGCAGGCTCAGCAGGAGCTTACCTGGTTAAAAAAAATAAAAATTGCTTCGTAAAAAAATATATTGTTGAGCTTAAATGTTCTTAAATCTCTCGGTCGCTGTCCAGCGAGTGATACGAATGGCTAAACGATAGTCATTCGATGGGCAGGTCGTGTGTGGTGGGGTAAAGTGTGGGTACTGCCACCACTCCCCCCCCTGGCCCTCGTAAAATAAAATAAAAAAATAGTTTAGGTTCTTTAGAATGTGAATCGAGTATCGCTGTGTATGATGTCCACCAGGAGGCGAGCGGTGATACTGAGAAAAATATTTCATTTGTAATTGATCAATATTAGCTTAGCAACAGAGACAAACACCAACCGCACACACACAACCACACACTGAAACACTCACACTCACTTTCTCGCACACACACACACTCAATCACTCACACACGCACACACTCATCACACTCACTTTCTCACGCACACACACGCACACACTCATCACACTCACGCACACACACGCACACACTCGCACACACTCATCACACTCACTTTCTCACGCACACACACGCACACACTCATCACACTCACGCACACACACGCACACACACGCACACACACGCACACACACGCACACACTCGCACACACTCATCACACTCACTTTCTCACGCACACACACGCACACACTCATCACACTCACTTTCTCACGCAACACTCTCTCAATCACTCACACTCACTTTCTCGCTCATACACGCACACACAAACTTGCACACTCACCTCGTTTGTACTCACACCGACACTCACTCAGTCAATCACTCACTCACACCGCTCGCACACTCACTCACTCAGTCACTTCACTCACCTCACTCACTCGCACACACCACACTCACACACGAGACAAAATCCCCCGTGTAGCTTTGCTGTTAGCGAACAGCTCCTATTAAGGCGGGAACGGCACACGAAAAGGTGGGTGGCCAACACCACGCCCGGCCGCCTTTGTCTCCCAAGTGGCGATGCTGACACACCGCACCAGGTACTCGCTTGAAGCCGAGTCGACCTAGGGGAGGCCCAGCACCGGTTCAGATAACTATCGTCACCGGTGTTGGCCGCGAGCGGGAATCGAACTCGAATCGTAGCGTGGTGACGCTAACCGCTGCGCCACCGCTCCCTACGCACACGCGCGCGCACACAGCCCCGTGCACGTGTGTTTGCCATCGCTGCAGATAACGAACGCAGAGGTGGAGTTCGTGGGTCAGACGAGGTGAAGGTTTGGACCTGATGATCCGAAGTGCGGGAGGGGTGGTGGTGGTGGTGGTGTGGAGGGAGATGGCTCGCCAACTCACTGCGTTTGCCAGGCTGGAGCCATCGTGCGGAGTGGAGCCGGGGAACGCGGAGAAATCTGGAAGAGGGCACACAGACGACATGGACACACGCGGTTACAATCGCCGCCCCGGCCACGCGGAGTCTTTGAGCTGCAGTGAACCAACGATGACGCCGATCAGAGACGTGACTGAATGTCTCACGCTGGCTATTGTTCGCAAATTGCACCCAATTACATCAAGATCACCCCACTCCCCCCACCACCCCCTGCTTCAAGCCAGAGGCCCGGGGCTCGAACCGTCTGACAAAAGCGGCAGTCCCGCAATTGCCAACTCGTTGGCGGAAGGGCCTCCACTAGAGTGAGCACTGCAGAGCCCCTTTTATATATATAGCGTCCTTGGTCTACTCTTCCTCGCTGGTTAGACGTCTCGGAAGAGGTGGGAGGAGCACCCACACTCGACCCCACCATGCTCGGCCTGCCGATCGACGCGTTGGGAAGGGCCCCCTCTGTGCTGCACGTCGCCTCGTTAGCATCTCGAGGTGCAAGAGCGATCACAGGGTGCCGAGTGCGAGCAGCACGCATCAGTGGCTGCGCTGATGCCACCGGTGGTCAATTCCACGTTCCTATGGTGGGGACAATTCATCTTGCACCGCGTGGTGCGGCCTCGTGATGTGGTACTCGTTTTACCGACCCCCCCAGACGGTGGTGGAAGTGGTGGTGGTGGTGATGGTGAAGATGGTGGTGGTGGTGATGATGACGGTGGTTGTGAAGATGGTGGTGGTAATGAAGACGGTGGTGGTGGTTGTGAAGACGGTGGTGGTGGTTGTGAAGATGGTGGTGGTGATAATGATGACAGCGGTTAAGATGGTGGTGGTCGTGAAGGTGGTGGTGGTGGTAGTGGTGATGACGGTGGTTATTAAGATGGTGGTGGTCGTGAAGATGGTGGTGGTGGTGGTTGTTGTGAAGATGGTGGTGGTGGTTGTTGTGAAGATGGTGGTGGTGGTGGTTGTTGTGAAGATGGTGGTGGTGGTGGTTGTTGTGAAGATGGTGGTGGTGGTGGTTGTTGTGAAGATGGTGGTGGTGGTGGTTGTTGTGAAGATGGTGGTGGTGGTTGTTGTGAAGATGGTGGTGGTGGTTGTTGTGAAGATGGTGGTGGTGGTTGTTGTGAAGATGGTGGTGGTGGTGGCTGTTGTGAAGATGGTGGTGGTGGTGGCTGTTGTGAAGATGGTGGTGGTGGTGGCTGTTGTGAAGATGGTGCTGCTGATAATGATGTTGATGACCTTGACGATGTTGCAGGTCGTAACGATTAATAATGACTGATTATGACGTTGACAAGTCTGATGTTTCTGATGATGATGATGATGATGATGAAAAACTATGACGATGTTGATGCTGGGTGGTGATGATGAAGACGACAGTGATGATGATGATGGTTGGGATAATGGCGACATGACAACGATGTTGACGATAACAAGGACGATGGCTACAATGACGTCTATGATATTTTTTTTATTCATTGGACGTGTTCTTGTTATTTGCCAGCAGCAATAACAAAAAACCTGTCCAACCTCGTGCACATCCCGTGTCACCTAGGAGTGGCTCTGAACACGTGTTCAACCTCCCCCCTCCCCTCCCCTCCCCCCACACCTTCCACCCCCCCACCCCTCCCGACTCACGCTCACCACGCCACGCCTGACCACCCATCCATCACAACCCCCGTCTAGCCATAACACAGACTGTTGGGGGCAAGGGCTGTTAGCGAGCACCTATTAAGGTCGGCAGACACAGCGGAGACGTTCACAGCTCTGGAAATCGGGGACGCGGTTAAAATGAATTGAACATCTGCAGCCCGCACCGTCTTGAATAGGAAGGGTTTGCTTATTTAAGGCTGAGTCGACCTAGGCGAGACCCAGAACAGATACACATTTCGCTTCGCCTCTGATGGTAGCCGTGGGTTCGGGGGATCTAACTTTAGGTGGGCAAGATCGAAGCACAGTGCGCTAACCACTGCACCACCGCTCCGCACCCCCCACCAACACACAGAGAAAACCACCACCACCCTCTAATTTCACAACTCCCACTGCTACAATTTCTTCCAAATAAGGGTCACAGAGTCTCATTATTTGCTTATTTACGTCTGCAACCACGTGGAGAATTGAAAAGAAATCCAGTTCCCAGGCCTTATATAGCACTTTGGCAAAAAGGGTAACATGGGAGAAAGATCCCCCGGGTAGCCTTTAACAGACTGTGGGGGCAAGTGCTCTTAGCGAGTAGCACCTATAAGGCCGGCACGGCACACGAGGGGAGAACGTGACCAACACCACGCCCGGCCGCCTTTGTCTCCCTAGTGGCGATGTTTACACACCTCACATAGGCACTCATTTGAGGCCGAATCGACCTAGGGGAGGCCCAGGCACGGTTCAGATAATCGTCACGAACCCGGCGACCCGAGTTCGATTCCCGCTCACGGCCAACATCAGTGACGATTACCCTGAACCGGTCCTGGGTCGACTCAGCCTCAAATGAGTAACCTGGGGCACTGTGTAAACATCGCCCTTATGGGGAGACAAAGGCGGCCGGGCGTGCATGATGGCCACCCACCACCTCGCGTGCCGTTCCGGCCTTCACGAGGTGCTGCTCCCTCGCTAACAGCACTTGCCCCAAAAGTCTGTTGAGGCTACACGGGGGATCTTTGGTGGGGATGTTGGAGGTTAAGATGAGGTACAGGGGGGTGGGGGGTCGTGGTGGAAATGTGAGGGGATGAGGGGGGGGGGGCTGCATAATAAATAAATAATTAACCGCGCAGGAATGTTCAAGCGGGTCATGACCTCCACATTTCCACGGTCAGGCATTTAACTCCACACAGACACACAACAACAAAGGTCCCCCGTGTAGCCTTCGACAGGCCGCAGGGGCAAGTGCTGCGAACCAGCAGCAGCACCCGATGAAGGCCGGCACGGCACACGAAAGCGATCGGTAGTAGCCAGCACCCACGCCCGGCCGCCTTTGTCTCCCCCGACGCTGATCTCTACACGCCGCACCGGGCACTCGTTTGAAGCTCCATCGAGCGAGTTGGTTTCGCTCAGGAGGGCCAGACGCGAGCCCAATGATTTGGTAATGTCAAGGGGGCTTTGCTCACAGACTCATAATTGCTCAGGTTGGCTTGGAGCCTCAGACATGAGTCACACACAAAGGCAAAGATGCCCCCCCCCCCCCGTATAGCCCGAACAGACTGTAGGGGCAAGTGCTGTTAGCGAGCAGCACCTATGAAGGCCGGCACGGCAACCCAAGTCGGTGGGTGGCCAGCACCACGCCCGCCCGCCTTTGTCTCCCCAGTGGCGATGTTTACTACACACCGCACCAGGTACTCATTTGAGGCCGAGTCGACCTAGGGGATGGAGGCCCAGGACCGGTTGAGAGAATCGTCACCGGTGTCCGTGGCTGTGAGCGGGAATCGAACTCGGGTGGCCGGGTTCGTAGCGCTAACCGCTGCACCACCGCTCACACAAGGACAGTTGCTGCCACATCGCTGCCTCAAGACGTCACGGACGACTTCAACTCGCAAATCCACGCGCCGCAACCGCACGGTACTCGCGGGAGAGAGAGGACGACTCAGAGAGAAAGGACGACTCATAGAGAGAGAGGACGTCTCAGAGAGAGAGGACGACTCGTAGAGAGAGAGGACGACTCGTAGAGAGGGCGGTGGGGGGTGGAGGCGACTCAGAAGGCGCTACGGGAGGAATTACCACAGTCGAGGAGCGGGAAGGCAGCAGCAGCAGGAGCAGCAGGAGCAGCAGCAGCAGGAGCAGCAGCATCAGCAGGAGCAGCAGCAGCAGCAGGAGCATCAGCAGCAGGAGCAGCAGCAGCAGCAGGAGCAGCAGCAGCAGCAGCAGGAGCAGCAGCAGCATCAGCAGGAGCAGCAGCAGCAGCAGCATCAGCAGCAGCAGCATCAGCAGGAGCAGCAGCAGCAGCAGCAGGAGCAGCAGCAGCAGCAGCAGGAGCAGCATCAGCAGGAGCAGCAGCATCAGCAGGAGCAGCAGCATCAGCAGGAGCAGCAGGAGCAGCAGCAGCAGCAGCAGCAGCAGGAGCAGCAGCAGCAGGAGCAGCAGGAGCAGCAGCAGCAGGAGCAGCAGCAGCAGGAGCAGCAGCAGCAGCAGCAGCAGCAGCAGGAGCAGCAGCATCAGCAGGAGCAGCAGGAGCAGCAGCAGCATCAGCAGGAGCAGCAGGAGCAGCAGCAGCATCAGCAGGAGCAGCAGGAGCAGCAGCAGCAGGAGCAGTAGCAGCAGCAGCATCAGCAGGAGCAGCAGCAGCATCAGCAGCAGCAGGAGCAGCAGTAGCAGCAGCAGCAGGACCAGCAGCCGGCAAGACCAAGAGCTAACCCAAGCTCTGCGGTCCCCCACATATCGAGGTGTTATCGGCCCAATTAAATAACGAGTTGGTTGTACGTGTGGGAGGACGCCGGGAGCACCCGACGGCAAATCCACGCCTTGTGCGAGGGCGCAACGCTCTATCCCGTGCACACGGAACAGGTGTGTACGGGGTAGCAATGATGCACGACTGGCAAGTGATGAACGAGCAGACCGTTTCACGACAGATGTACAACATATTCTTAGGTTTTTTCGGTAAAGTCACGTAGGTACAAAATTCAAATTAATAAAAGTAAAATAAACACAAGCTTCCGTCTTCAGGTGTACACCATTGTGCACACAGCTTCGTTTAGGCTACACGGGGGATCTTTGTTGCTTGAGTCTGCGTTGTTACGCATGGATGTGGAACTTCTTGCGCGCCGTACGTAGCCGACCGGGCGAATCGGAGGTTGGTGATGGCGGTGGCGGCGGTCAAGGTGATGGTGGCGGAGGTGATGATGGTGGCGGTGATGCTGATGGCGGTGGTGATGGCAGTGATGGTGGCGATGGTGGCGATGGTGATAGCGGTGGTGGTGGCGTTGATGATGCTGATGGCGGTGGTGATGGCGGTGGTGGTGACGATGGTGATGATGGTGGTCGTGGCGGTGATGCTGATGGCGGTGGTGATGGCGGTGGTGATGGCGGTGATGGTGGTGATGGTGATAGCGGTGG